TTCCCAAGAGACTGGATGGCAAAATAGCATCCGCCACAACCTCAGTTTGAGCAAATCGTTTTCAAAGCAAGAACGCCCCAAGGACGACCCTGGAAAAGGCCACTACTGGGTCATCAATGCTGGATTCGAGAAGCAGTACCACAAGGTCAAGCCCGTTCGCCGACCGGCACCTCCAGAATCCCTTGCTCCGGCATATGCTAGTGATCTCCCGCGTCCTTCCACATCCATGTCAGCTAGCTTCCCACCCATGAGTTCGACAAAGGGATTTGACTCGAGCAAATTTCCGGAAGAGGCCGAGCTACCTTCTTCCGAAGCTACCATCCCTTGCTCCGACCCTGCTGCGCATGACGGACATGATCCTATTAGCATGCCGCCGCCCCGTCAGATGCCATCTTCGCCTCCACCAGCTGACATTCACTCATCACCTCCTCCACCTGTCTCTCGTTCTCGTTCAGTGCGTGAGGACACACCGCCACGCGCCCCACACTTCGCACCCAACAGCCGCTCGGGCGGACGCCGGCGCAAGTTCAACGGTCTCGGTGACAGCGGTTACTACTCGTCCATCGAATCGTCTGCAACCAAGGGTAACCCAATGGGACCTTTACTCACTTCCGAGGCGGATCTCGATCGTCCCAACCTTAAGCGTGGACGTGCCGAAGAAGAGATTGCCCGCATACGTGGCTCCTCTTACGATTCTCCTACCAAGACTAGGTCTCACAAGCAGTCTGTCATCTCGTCGCCGGTCCGCCAGGGTACCAAGGTTCTCGATCCTCTTACCCCTGCCATCGTCTTCAAGCGTCCTGCTCTTCCACCCGCTTCCGCATCGCCCAACACCAATCTACGCAATCACCGTAACAAGATGCGAGAACTCGTAGGCGGCTCACCAGACAAGAGCCTTGCTATGTGGGTTGACACTTCCTTCCTTGACAACAAAGCTTGGAGCCCAGCTGTGTCCATCCCCAACGAAGAGAACGTCAACCTCGTTGGACATGGTTTCGAGAGTACCTTTGACATCTTTGGAGACTTTGGCTACAACGAGAGCCCCCTCAAGCGTTCAGCCAAGCGCCCCCGCCTCGAACGTGCTGTCACCACAAGCGGTGTTCTCGCCGACATTACTGGCGCTAAGGGGAACATGACCAACTCACCTACTCCCAACTGGAAGATGTCATCGTCTTTCCTCAACATCCCAGACCTGTCGCCTGCCAAGAAGATGTCGCCCATCAAGGCCCCCGTGCTGAAGTCTAATGCATCTACCTCTCTGTCCGAGTTCGCTCTTCCCCAGCCGAAGAAGGAGAACGTGCACACGGGTCTTACGCCTCCTCAATCCTTCCACGTTCCCTCAAAGCCGCAACAGCCACAGCAGGATGACGAGGACATCTTCCATCTGTTGCACAGTGACGAGTCTGAACCAGGTATTGACCTGCTTCAAGGCTTTGAGAAGATTGGAGCCAGGACCTTGGCCGTCGCTCCCAATGGATCGCCCCAGAAGAAGTCTGCGAGACCAAGCTTGGCTCGTAGTTCTACTACTCGATTCTAAATCAATTACCACCCCGCCATCATGACTGGCTTTTGGCTCAATCTTACTTTTGTACGCCACCCCTGGATCTCATCATCTGGATCTGGATACCTCATTCTTCGCCATTCTCGATACCCCTCATCTTGCGACTACGTCTTTTAGCTCTTACCTCCTGGCCTTCCATATCACGGTGCCCAAGATCATCACTTCGACTCCTCCTACTTTGGATTATCCATTGGATAACTCCGCCTCACGATGTAACGACCAACGATACCCACGATAGCAACGGCTGGCCCTCCTACTCTTAACGTCTAATTCGACATATCTTCTTATTGGGCGAGGCGTTGCAAGGCCACGCGGACGTACATATTGCCCCCGTCACTGTGCCTACTACGGTGTTCTGGGTTCCTGTTTCTTTGAGCGATGCAAGCGTAATGATCTATTGAGGCGGCTACTGGACTCGAACAGAGATGGTCATTTTTACATGGCACAACTACGATATGGACGAGAATGAGAACATGCCTGAACGCAGCGGATTCCATAGTATTTCTTGCTCAGCAAATTAAACATGTTACTTGATTCTAATCAATGTGCCTGCCTACTTCTATGCGCTCCTGTCAACCTGATGTTCATTCGTATACTTCCGACTAGTCTGCCTCCAATAACAGGACTCATACTACAAACAACGGTACGAAGACTGCCCATACACACTAGCACTTCGCGTCGAGATAATTTTCCATGACCTTTGCTTTTCCCATCCCCTCTTCTCCTAACATTCTCCCAACGAAAGCCCATTCGTCCCAACAATGCCCCTCCTCCCGCAAAAAGGAAATCTACTTCCCCTCTCTATGCAGCAAGAATAGCGTACCCTCGGTCTATCGGTCTACCGTTCACCTACCCAAAATCCGGAACACTAGCCAAGATCGTCAATGCACCTGCATACGCAACGCAGCTCTCTAGTCTGTATTTGCCCCACAAACGGACCACGCAGCTAGACCCTAGGGCACGTATGTCGGCAGTCTCGGTAGGTCAGGACGATAGCGTTCCATGGAACGGTATACAGTCGCTTACCCGATCGACAGCGGTAAACAATACTAAACGTGCATGGCGAGGCGGGGCGGACATGCGTGCATGCATGGTCGCCATGTAGGCGTAGTATGTACATGTATTCGTACATACATACCCGTAGTGTCCCACGGCGACGTTGAAGTAATCAGAGTTGCGAAAAGAAGTAACGCCGCATAGCAACGTGGTCTGCGCTGTTACACGGCTTCGTACGCATATACGTACGTGCTTCAGTGTGAACCTTGGGATGTCTGTCTACTCTGAGGGGAGCCGGATGTACGCATAGGGCAACTCTCGCAGAATATACTCTTTCGAGCTTTATCGCGCATACCTTACCTCCTTTAAATTCGCGTACTATGGGTTGATCCGGAAAGGCAGAGGCGTAAGCTCATGTTGGCTCAAGTAGCTCGAGCATGTGCAAAAAACATACAACAGCGATTATTCGCCAGTGGTCACCCATCCTGGCTACTAGTTCGCCGGTTAAAGGTTTATCGTGTGGAGAGCGAACGGGATCCGGAGTAGTCCTTTGCCTGTGGTCGTATGTTGCAGTTTTTGGAATTCTGGCTTTGGTATTGATAGACAAAAGTTCACAGGATTGTGATCCGCAGAAATCTTGGGCATGGGGAACCACAGTACGGAACATCATGCACGCACACTCCAGCTGCAGTAATAGATGAATCGCTCAATAAAATATCATATCTACATTTTCTCATGTCCGGTAATCACCGTTGATAGTAACATACTCGTGACTGAAATCACACGTCCAGAAGACAGCCTCCTCGCCTTCCTTTTCACTCAACCTAACCTTGATCTCCAAATCTTCAGCCTCTAGAATCTTGGCTGCCCTGTTCTCATCAACCTGCTCCGGCTCACCCTTGACAAGTAGCTTCAGCTCCTCACTGCCGTCCGTGGGGACAAAGCTAACGCTCGTCTCTTCGGGAACAACGGAGTCAACGCCTTCGGCGTAGCCCGTCGCGCACAGAATACGGCCCCAATTTGCGTCCTTTCCGTACAACGCCGTCTTGACGAGCGGTGAGCGCGCAATGGTCGAGGCTACACGGTGAGCATCCTTGTACGACGCGGCATTTGTCACCTTGATGGTGACAAATTTCGTCGCACCTTCTCCGTCTCTGACGACCAGTTTCGCCAGGTCAATCGAGAAGTCTGTGAGGACTTTTTGGAAAGCGGAAAAGTCTTTGGAATCGGCCGAGGTAATGGGCTGTCCACCGGCGGCACCGTTGGCTAGAATAGCTACTGTGTCGTTGGTGGACGTGTCGCCATCAATGGAAATGCTGTTGAAGGACTTTCCAATCGCGGCGACAAGTGCTTGACGGAGCAGGTAAGGGGCGACGGGGGCGTCTGTGCAGATTATGCCTAGAAGCGTGGCCATGTTGGGATGGATCATGCCTGCGCCCTTAGTCATACCCGCAATGTGGTATTCTTGTTGAGTGCTCGGTAACGAAAATGTCTTTGAGACGAGCTTGGGGAATGTGTCGGTTGTACAGATTGCACGTGCGGTGCCTAGCCAGTGCTCGTGCGTGTCTCCGAGATTGTAGTATGCAGTGGGTATCTTCGAGGTGATTTTGTCAATGGGCAGGCGCTGGCCGATGACACCTGTGCTCATGACAATGCTCCGGCTTCCTTTCAGGTCGTCTTGCCCGTTGTTGTCTTTTATGAAGCACTTGTCGGTTTCTTGGCCCATGGATATAGCATCCTCAATACCTCCACGTCCCGTCACTGCGTTGGCGCATCCTGAATTCACTACGACGGCCCGGATTCCCTCGCCCTTCCTCTTCTTCAGCATGTCCCTGCTGACAGTGACTGGAGCGGCTTGGAACTTGTTCGTTGTGAAGACGGCTGCTCCCGCGCATGGTGTATCGGATGCGATGAGAGCGAGATCGTCGAAGCGGGTATTGGATGCCTTGACGCCAACATGCGCACTTCCAGCCTTGAACCCGAGCGGGTATGTGCCTGAAGTCGGAACATACTTCTTCTTGGCAGGCGGGATCACGCCGTCGCCGGGTGCAGCGTATGTTCGTATTTGCGAAGTGAAGATACGGTTTGTGCGGGCGAGGAATCGCGGGTTGGGCCGTGTGAGGGGCATTTTGGGATACGTAATGAGCAATCAATTGCACTGTGACGATGTTAGTTATATTGACACTTGGGTCGCTGTTTGCGACGATTGCGATGACACAGCAACTCTCGCGACAGCAACGGTCGAGGGAGCCCAATGCTGGGAGCAAACATACCTGATGATCTTTTTGTATCCCTTGTCGTCTCTGACTCACTCAATTGACGTCCTGCGCCCAATGAGTCTTGCGATGGAAGCTGCCCAAAAAGTTGGAGGATGCGCTTTCCCGCCGTTATCGCTGCCCGCCGATCCCCACGCGAGCCACGTTGAGTCAAAACCCCTGCGCGTCTAGAGCAGCAACGCGCCCAGCGTCGACCCCATCAAATAACACACGAGGATTGCGTACCGCGTCATCACAACCCGCTCCTTCTGCACCAGGTACGGCGCAACAATGAAGAAGATGGCTGCGGTGGGCAGGCTGGCCGGAATCGACATGCGCAGGCCGCGCGCGAGCTGGGCCACCAGGGCGTAGTAGCGGCTGTCCAGAGCTACGGGCACGAGGCTGTCGCCGCTGTAAAGTACCAGGAATTGGAAGACCGTCAGCAGCAGTGTCGATACCAGCAATGCGTACTCGATGCCTTCGCGACGGCGCTGTTCCATGTTCCTGACATAGGCGTCCAGAGTGCGTTCGACGACAGGGAGTAGCGGCGTTTTCTCAGAAGTAAAGGACATCATGATTGTGGATTTTTGGATTTGACGAGTATGAGCTATCTGGATTACGAGGCCTTCTGCTTGTTATATGCCAGCCATGCGCTCGGGCGGTACATTCTTTGTTCGATACCAATGTTGGTGGTCTTGGAACGCGCCTTGTGAAACAAGCGGACCCCAGTTGTTTGACATGGCATCTTGGCCTCACTCTCGGCTTCGGTCTTGTTGCGGCAGCCTTGCTCCCTTAAAATTGAGGATGACGAATGGGGAGAGCCCCAGGGCAACCCACTCTTTGCAGGCTGTGGCCATCAGCGTTGGCAAGGCATCGCTTGCTGAGAACCTAATATGTGAGCAGTCTCTCGTGCGTATCAGGATGTGTGGCGTAGCGTAAACTACATCTTGACAAGGTTCTGCTATGTTTGACTTTTCCGAAATAGCTACTAACATCAGATGTGATGTCTTGGCCAGAAAGCGGCTGTTTCGCCAACATTGCGTCACACCGAGGTCATCTTCCGAAATCGACAAGTCGTCACGTTCCGTTGAAACAGCATGTGTCTGTCTCAGCTACTCATCGCGTCTCAAGATAATCTGCCCTAGCAGCCTTGCCCATCGATACCACAAGTCCGTGAAGGGTGACAGAGGATGGGGAGTGCTGTAAGCATTCATGGCATTTGACTTCGGCGGGTTTCAGATAGGTAGGTAGCTTTCCCAAGGGTGCAGTAAGACAGATCTTAGAGCGATACTCATAGGAGCACACAACCTGAACGCTGCTGCACATCATACTATTCACTTCTGGTCTGGGCCGTGAACACAATATCACAGAAGCTGATTTTCTGCGACAGTGGAACGATCCCTCTCATCATATCGCAGCTGTGGAATGCTCCTTGTGTCTAGAGCCTGTGTGAATGGTTGAAAGTATGCTTACTTATAGCATTTTAGACTCCACCTTCGATGAGCAGCAGTTCTTTGTGGCGTCTAGAACTCATGGTTCCGCAGTATGAAAGAGAGGACCTAAGGGTGCGATTACTACAAGGGCGGCCGAAGGGAGGAACACTACCTAGCCGTGAGTAGTCTGCTAGAGCAACATCTCGCAATCGCGCAGATTAGCTTTGGAAGCGGGTGATAGGCCATGGGCTCCGATTCCCCAAAAGACCGGCATTCTCCACGCTGTGTAGGCGCATACATACCAGCTCTTTATCTTTATGCATGTAGGTTCGGCGAGAAACGTGGGGAAAGCTCGGGGATCATCTCTGTGTTGTGTTTCAGCCAGCAAAAAAAAAGAACCATGAGTATATGTTCTCCGGCTGTTCGGATGTAAGTACGACGAAGAAAAGACTGTCAAGTATATATGGGCGTTCGAGAAGCCATGGTCAGCAGGCTTGGGAGAAGAGGGATGGCGGGACGCACAAGGAGACGCTACAAACAGCGCAAGTGCATCACGCTAGCCATTCCAAGACCCCAACCATCGGTGTTGAACTGTTAGACCTTCCGACTTCTTCGAGTATGTGGCAATTTGATATCAATCAGCGTGTTAGCCGTGTTGATCTTATCTTCGTGATTGCCTGAGCAAATGAGACATGAACGGGATGATGGCATTTGTCCGTTTGTGTTTGGACGTTCGCATGTGCTGAGGGGAGTCGGTACTTCACGAGAATCTATGCGCGCAAAAGAAACACTTGTCATGTTCATGCGGATGCAAGTGTTATCGTATAGACGGATTGATCCTGTCTGTACCAAGAGCTGGAAAATGCAGGTGTGAACCCCTCTTGTGTACTTACCGGCATAGTAAGGAACTACGCAGCAGTCATTGGCTTCACCAAGTAGCAGTTGCATCCATGGATGCGAATTCAGTGCCGTACGACTATGGTCGGGCTAAATTGCATCTCATCATAGACCACCGGGGGACCAAGCGGAACGCGCAAATCGATAATCATCCCGTGGTCAGTGTGGTGATTGTCTTCGAAAGCACGGTAGGCGGTGCTTGACCGTGCTTCCATTGTATTCTACAAAGGCACCTTTATCTGCTTGGTTTCAGGTTTGCGTTCGACATGCGATGATAGAGACACCTCGTCGGCATCACTAATTCACTCACTAAAAAAGATCTTGGACATAGCATGGCCATTTCTTCTACTTTCGTTCTTTACCATACCTAGAAACTTTTCTTTACTTCGTTTTACCCAACACACATCGACACTCAACATGAGTCCTATCATTAATATACCCCATGTATGGGCACGCGCAAATACAGCAAGCCCAGTAATGTCAAATCTCGAACTCAACAATCCAAACACAAGGCCCACACGCCCTTCAGCGCAGCCAGCATCGTTACCAAGGGCACTCGTCGTAGACTCGTCGACACCACCACCGCCACCGCCGCCACCAGCCATGAAAGACGAAACACCGTCTGCACACTCAATAGCACGAGGAGGACCAGGAATGACTCTCGGGACAAAGATTGGCCTTGGAATGATACCCGTCATGATCGCCTTTTGTGCGATATGCATCTTCACCGCATTCTGGTGGCGCAGACGAAAAGCGCGGAAAGCGAGGCAAACTCTGCAAACACCTCCTCCAGCCCCAGAGAAAGACTACATGATACGTTTGCCGTCATTAGACAGCACCCGAAGAGGAAGCAAGATTTTCAACATGTCCGCATTCAGCACTCATGTCTCTGACGGCCGGCACAGAGAAGCCCAGGTTCTCGGTCAAAGCAGAGAGTACATTCGAATGGTGAATCAAGACCAAGAGGATGATGGCGCGACACCAAAGACACCCGCACGCAGCATATCGGAGAAGGGTCGCTCCGGTCGAGACTCGCCAATTGATGGTGCTAGCCCATTCCGACTAACACACAGCGAGTTGGCCAGGAGGAGTTTGGGATCTGAAATATCAGAATTATGGCCCTCTCCACCACCGACAGCTTGGGTTCGGCGGCAGGGCATTCTGGATTCTCTACCGGAATCGCGATTTGGTCGGGACATGAGCCGGAGATCATCACAACGTAGTACCAATTCCAATTACAAGCGGATGAGCGACGCAAGCTCGGCCTTCTGAGTTGCTGGAGAGGCGTTTTGGTTCATGGGTTGCGGGCAGGCGGATATCAAATATAGACTGGGTCTTCCGTTACGACTGGACGACTTGCGTAATGGTTCAAGTATACCCACAGGTTGCAGGCGTCCAGGTTGGGGACACCATCATTCACTCACTTTTCTCTGTATACAAGTTAACATTTGAATTATTATGCTCTTGTCAATAGACACACCCTATGCTTTTGCTGTGACCTTCTTCTCAAACTCTTCTTGGCGGTCCATTCGGTAGGAGCAGCCAACTTCAGCATCTCGTGGCAGTCTACCTGCTGACTGCACTTGGTTCTGTCGTGCGCGCTTGATTGCGCTTCTTTGCATCCTCCCTGGCAGTATTCGTAGAGTGTAGACAGCGTATATCGCTATTAATCAGGATATGGGTCGGTCCTCGCAGTTTCTCCTCGTCATACTGCTCAGTCGCTGGAGGCGCACCCTCTGCAGCCGCAGTTCACGCATTGAATCTCCTGGTTCTCCTTGAGCTGATCCCTGGGGACACGGCAAATGCAGGTCGAGCGGAAGTTTGTCTCCTTGGTCTGGATGCAGCGCGTGCAGCATAGCTACTCACAAGTTAGTTTGATTCGAGCTAAGAGGTTGCCTGTGTAGAATGGACTTACCTTCTCATAGCCTTGCTTCTTCCACTTGGCGATCAACATGGCATCTGCATAGCCGTTCTTAAGCAAATAGTCGTAGAGCTGCTTGCTGATGGCCTCCTTCTCGTAGTATAGGTCGTAGATATAGCGCGAGCGTTGGTGGGTGATTTGGAAGATGGGCCACGTCATTTCGTACTTCTTCTTGCCCTCGTGCGATGCGTTTTCGGCGTCCTTCATCTTGTTCTGGAATTCTAGGAGGGTGTCCTCGATATCATCGAAGCCCTCCGGCGGGGCCTTGCGCGAGGCGCGTGCGGTACGGACTGGAGGCATGGCTGGGCTGGTTGTAGCAGGCCGAAATCTGCGAATTTGGCACGAGGTAGAATATCGATTATGGCGACAGATACGGTCGAGCTTGGAGTATGCTGCAAAGACGTTGTCGGTATTCGTGGTTTCGAGAGAGAAGCCTTCGATAACTTCGCGACCCGTGGACTGCGCCGGGAGTAAAATCCGCGCTAACACCAGGTCTTGGCATTCCACTCCCGCGAGCCGCATCGTCACTCCAGCTCCGGCTTCGAGACGACTGGAAGCTCCCCAACACCGCCAACATGGTCATCAACCCCACCTACCTCGCTCAGCGCACGCGCTCCTGTTAGTCGAACACGCCCACGGAACATTGGAGGAATGCAAAGGCTAATGCGGGCACAGCGGTCAACTGGACTGATGCGAAGAAGAGGGTCATTCACAGCTACCGGGACTGGCTCCGGTCGGTACGTTGACTCCCGGAATCTACAAGTCCTTTGGGGGGAATTTGGGGATTGGATCCAGGTTGTGTACGGAAAGAGCTGGGACGAGGGAGGAAAGCGTGGGATGCGGAGAAGCGGGCAGCATGACCTTGAACCTGGACTGACGATGACTTTACAGGCTCCCGAAATCCAGACCATGTACTCGCTGAACATGCCCGTATCCACGCTTCGAACGAAAATGCGGCAGGAATTCGAGCGGCATCGATACGTGAATCAACTCAAAACAGTAGATGTGCTGCTGTTCAACAGTCATCAGGAATTCCAGGTACACCACGGACCAACACGCTGTGATAGTGGGGAATGTACTGATAATCGTACAGGAAACACTCAACTTCTGGAAACAATTGTCACACGTTCTCAAATACTTCCGCGCGGAAGAGGATCCCAAGGCCCGGCTACCAAGCAACTTCATCAACGGCTTCTTGGAGGTACGCTCACTCTTTGCGCTAATACTCTCGCGGAATCATATGCTAATGCGCATGTATAGGGTCGCAACTGATTTGTCCATTACTACCAAAGTCCGGAGACAACCAAGAACAAAATTCGGTGTA